TCCTGCTTGCACAGGAAGTTGAAGGGGCAGGCAGGCACTGTGGTGTCCCAAAGGGAGAAGAGCAAGAGAAAGTCCCCAAGCGAGCCAAGTGCTGAGCAAAAGACTGTTGTGACAGCCCAGGGTCTTTCAGTCCCTTCTGGTCACCTGTCTGTGCTTCTTGGTAGAAGCAAAGTTTTAATCAAGTGATGTGTGGCTGGGCTTCACACACCTGACCAACCGCACAGTAGATGCAGCCATCACGTCCTTGTCCTCTGCATTATCACCACCACCGACAACAATAAGGCAAGCCTTGCCTTTAGCAGGAAGGCTCAGAGAGTGAGTATCTAAGGGCATCAGCTAGTAAGTGGTTGTCATGGTGTGTGTCTAGATGGCCCCACACAGATTCACATGGTCCTAGATGTAGCTTCTGGGAGGTGGATGCGTCTAGGGTGTGTGATGCTGGGACAAGGGGTGTGTGATTACTAAATTAGTCTATGATTGGCTTAGCACAGTTCTGGAGGGAGACAAGGGGAAGGAGCCCCTGGGTAGGCTGGAAGGGATAAAAGGGAGGAGCCGGCTGCTGCTTGGTGTTTTCAGCGGTGCTGCCTCCCACCCGCTCACTCCTCTGCCAGGCCCCTCTGCCAGGGAGCCAGATGTTTATGGACCAAAGCCTCTACAAACCAGGAGCCAAAATAAGCCTTTCCTCCTTTCATGTTGGGTGTTGGGTATTTTATCTCTGCAAGGAGGAAAATAGGCAAGACGGTGGCAAAGAACAGCTCTCCCATACCAAAGCTCCTCTGGCATCTCTTAACACTTGGCCTTGCAGCTTGCACAAGGACACTGAGCGTGTCTGAGTCGTGCATTTTCTTACGTAAGACATGGGAATAGGACGTCTCCTCACCTGGCAGGGCTGCAGTCTAGGTGAGATGCGATCCTTGACGTTTGTGAGCTTTGACTTTGTTGAGTGACTCTTGTCAAGATTACAGATCAATTCTTCCCCCGTAAGCATTATGGTCTGCATTGCCACAGTGGCAGACAGTAAATATTCAATAAAGCATGGGACTGAGCCCAAGAGGACTGTGGTGGGCAGGCCAGAGGCACTGACGTGGAGCTTCCTGCCACCCCCAGAATGCAGGCAGAAGGGGACCCCACTGAGGATGGTGTCAGGAAGAAGGGGGTGGCCCTCAGCCTAGATAACCAGCCCACTTCCTTTGCCACTTAGCCACAGTCTCCATGGCAACTAGGTCCCTAAGGCTCCATGGGTGCAGGGCCTACCACCCCAGGCCTCTTGTCATTTTCTCCCTGTAACCTTGCCTGGGCCCAAGTCTTAAGCTAACATCACCCCAACCTTTACTACCCTTAGCCGTATGAAACCAGTGCAGGCAGCAGCCAACCTCACACACTGCTCTGACAGAGAGGCACCCACTTTATGGATGAAGAAATTGAGGCTCATCAGGTCAAATGTCTTGCTGAAGCTCCACAGCTACTGACCAGCAGACACAGACCTAGGATCTGAGACAGTGATGGGCTGGTGCCAAGTCCAGGTGATCACTCAGCTATCATCCGCTCCTCCAAGGCCAAGTTCCCTGGCCTCCATCCTCCCACTGCTTCCCGTTGCCTCCCTCAGCGGGGACCACTGCATTTGGGGAGATTTAGGAAAAAGCTGCATCAAAAGCCATACTGAGACCGTGTCTAACAGATCTACCTCAGGGCCATGTGGAAGGAGGAAATTTTTCTTTAGCTTACTCTGCCACTGACTATGGCCTGGGTTCTGTGAAATTAGAGGTTAACATGTGGAGATGAGATAATTTGCAAGTGACTTTTCTTCCGTGGAAAAGATTACTTCCAGCCAGGGACGGTGACGCATGCCTGTGATCCCAGCTACTCGGAAGGCTGAGCAGGAGCTGCACAAGTTTAAGGGTCAGCCTGGGCAACTTAGGGAGACCCTGCCTCAAAATTTTTAAAAATAGTGTGGATATAGCTCAGTGCTAAAGCACCCCTGGGTTCAAGCCCTAGTACGCTAAGAAAAAGAAAGAAAAGATAATGCCCCAAATTATGGTATTACTGTTTTAATCCCCCCTGTGATCATAACCAGCTTCTGTCAGTTCCTCCTATCTATCTCTTTACTAACTTGCTGGTTTCCTCAGCAATAAGCAGAGGACATTTTTCACACAAGCTCACTGCATAGTTCTGAATTTTTTACTGTCTGAAAATGATCTTTCGATCTGAACAAGAGTTCATGTTTTCCCATTTCAGTTCCGACTTCCCTTGAGAAAGAGAGGTTTCTAGCATGGGTCAGCTGGCTTGAGATTTGCTGTCCAGGCTCCTGCCTTCTCCTGGGTCACCAGTCTGCCTGAGGCCTCACTTGGTCCCAGGAGCGATGTGGAGAGACTCTCAGTGGTGAGGGATGGCTGGGGCAAAGGACGCTCACTGCATTTCCATGTCCGCTGTGCCCTGCCTGACTCCTGTCCCCCAGGCATAGCCCCCCATTGCCATAGGCTTGGGCCTTCTCACCACCAACTCTTTCTTTTCACACCTGCTTTCTGGGATGCCCACAATGGAGCTCCTGTCCAGCCACCCATAAAAATACCCTCAGACATAGTGTGCACTCAACTGAGGCAACCAGCCGGCTCTACTTAAAGTCAGAAGGCAGTCTCCCCACAGGTGACACCCATTCTCCAACCCAAGATCTGCCTGACTGTTTTCAAAATAAGGAGTCTGTCAGATGTTCAGTAAAAACTGAGGGCCCTGCCAAGATGTATGCATTTTGCATACTCATTTCTTAAAATTATAAAAGGGAAGAAAAGCTCTGCCTCCTGGTAAAGGAACTCCAGTCATCAGCAAGAAGCCAAAAGAAGGGCCAGCCAAATAGCTCAGCAGATTAAAGTGCCCACAAGCAGGCTCAGGGGATGGGGCTCTCTGGGCCTGCCATGCTGGCCCTGTCCCCGGGTTGTGCTGAGACAAAAATTGAGACTGGGCGTGGTGGTGCGCGCCTGTACTCCCAGCTCTTGGGAGGCTGTAAACAGGCAGACCACTATAAGTTCGATCTAGTAGTGAGACCCTGAACACCCTATAGACCCTTCCCTAAAAAAAAAAAAGTACAAAAAGAAGCAGCAGCAGCAGCAGCAGCAGCAGCAGCAGCAGCAGCAGCAGCAGCAGCAGCAGCAGCAGCAGCAGCAGCAGCAGCAGCCACCGCCGCCGCCAAAACAGACCAGTTTGATTGGGGTTAGGGATAGGACAGAACAACAGAGACTGACCTTAAACAGGCCTGCTGCCTCAGGAAGTTAGAATGGTGGGCTTTTTCTAATGTGCCTGAGCACTTGTCCAAGTCTGACACCTTTGGCTGAGGTTTTCTAACACTGGTTTGAGAATGCTAGTTTGTCATACAAAAAAAATCTTTATATATTCATGGTTTCTAGATACTGTATTGTGTCCAGTTAACCTATCTATTCTTATACCAATATGTGCTATCTTAATACCCATAATCCTATACTACTTTCAAAGATTTGGTAAGTGAGATATCTGATTCTCACTCTCATTCAAAAATATATAAATAAAGCTAAGTATGGCTACACACACCTATAATCCCAGCACTCAGGAGGCTGAGCTAGGAGGATCTCAAGTTCGAGGCCAGCCGGGAAGATACTGACTATATTGAGACCTTGTCTCCAGTCTCCAGCAAAACAAAACAAAATAAAACAGAACAACAACAAAAATATAAACAAATGCATAACTAAGTTATACTTCCAAGCATTTACTCTTCCAAATAGACTTTAGCTAATTTTGCTAAAATTTAAAAAGATCCTCTTCATATTTTGATTTTGGTTACATCTATTTCTGTAACACTTAATGTTATTACGATATTGATACAATTCAACAATCTGTCTCAATTACTTGTCCTTCAGTAGAGTTGGTTTTCTCTATGTTTGTTATTCATATTTCTTTCTTTTATATTTTTAGTTGACAACATAACATGGTTTTTCTCCCCACTGTTTTCTCATTAGTTGATGTGTGGGAAAGCTTTTACTTCCTTGTTTGCTAGTTGTGAAAGCTATTCATTCAGGTGATTCTCCTAGGAGAGTCACTTAGCACTCAAGCAATTGTTTGGGTGTTAAGTACAGCAAGATACTACCTTCTCCAGTTGAGCAAAGTCTCTATGTCTTTTTGCATAGGCAAAAAGACCTATATGCAAAAAGGGGAAAGAAAACAGTTTAGTGGAATCACCTCTAGTATTTCACATTAGGCTACTGTCATACTTTAAATATTTTTTATAGCCAGGCATGGTAACACACACCTGTAATCCCAGCTACTAGGGAGCGGAGGGCTAAGGCAGGAGGATCACAAGTTCAAAGCCAGCCTGCAATTCTTAGCAAGACCCTTTCTCAACATCTAAAAGTGACAAATGGCTGGAGAGTAGCTTAGCATTTCCTGAGTTGAATTTCCTTGGAATATTAATGTGATAAATTAATTTGAAGTGACTTCTCAGTAATTTATACTTATGTTGTCTCTTGCTCTATCAAAGTTTTCTTAGACTTCTTTTTCATTTGTAATTTCTCAAGAATTCCTACTTTTCAAATCCTCTACGTTCAAACTTGATCAGTGCCAACTCCTTCTTTGGCCAGAGCTGAGTCAGCATACACACACAATTCCCTATCTGCTCCTGGAAAAAGGAATCAAGAAAGGGCCTCCTATCAATATTCTGGGGGCTCCTCTAGCTGACCTGGCCAACCTTAGAGACCCCTTGGCTGATTTGGCAAGGACAAGTGGTACAGTTTGCTTGTTCTAAAAACTCCCCTTTGAGTTCCTTCCTATTTTACAACCCTTAGTTTACACAGTTAGCCATCTGATCCTGCATGCACAATGAAGAGAAGACTCCCAGGGTTTTGACCCAGGGTGTGAGCAGAGATGAATCATACGTTTGCAAGGTGAGGAGGGTCACAACCGAAGAATGATTTCAGAGGATACGGACGCATCCTGACTGCATTAGCCCTGTCTTTTGTGCCAGCCTCCTCAGCACTTACCTGGAGCCTTGAGTTCTGCATCGATGAAGGCGAGCAGTTCCTGGCAGATGCTGCAGTATGGAGCAGGCCAGGTCAGGAAGTGGTGGTAGGTTCTGGCTGCCTTCAGAAGGAGATCTGAGTCTGGTGGGAAATGTGGTGTCTAGAATGGAGGAGCAGCAAGCGGAAAGATCTGTGTGAGAAAGAGCTCACTGCTATTCCAGGATCGCTTCTGCTCCCTCTCTGGAATGTTCTAGAAAGGCTACGCATCTCCTGGGAGCAATATGTCACAGGACAGTAGGCATGAACCAGAAGTGACTCAGAGGGAATAAGTTACAGATGGGCAGGGCATTTCCACACTAAGTGCCTTGTTTTTACCTAACAGGCCATGATTTAGTCAACACACGAGAGAGGCTCTCTGAAAAGCTGTCCCTGTAGAGGTCGTTCTAAATGGGGCCATTGCTGCCACGCATGCTGGGGTGTGACTTTCAATGCTTAAATCATCTTTACTTAAATATCCTCGGGAGACAGAAATCTTTCTTCCTTTTGTGGATTGTCCTGATGTTCACTGTATCATTGCTTCACTACCTTGGTGAAAACAGGGATAATAACTGGGCAAAGCTGATCACTGGGATTAAACATTAGTTGGACACAAAAATCTCTTAACAGAATCTGTTTTGTGATCTCTGAACTTGCTATGACAGAAGTTCCTTTACGGAAGCCCAGAGACAGCAGGCACCACGCTGGGCGCAAGCGGTCACTGGAGGCCTTGCAAGGCGGTGGCTCACAATCCAAACACGGGCCTCACTTGGATATGCACTCCTCAGAGGAAGAATACAAATGGCAAATAAATATAAGATGGCAGTTCTGAAGACATCAGAGATTGAAATCCATCTCAGTGCCATCAGTTGACAGCTTCTCTCTCTGTTTACCCCCCACGGGTGTGGGAGGTACCCACATTGGGGACCTCTCTTTCTTTTCCTCCCTCTCTTTTCTCTCTTGTTCTCCTGTCCTGGCCCACCCAGACTTACACAGAGGACAGTGGAATAGAAGAGCAGAGCCAGTGGGGTGAGGAGGTCATAGCTGCCCTTTTCTTGGACCTGCAGAGAAGACAGGGAGGTCAAAATGGTGCAAGTCTCTTGGCCTATTCTGAAACTGGTGGGAGTTCGAGGCACTGAGAAAGCCCTCCCATCACTTCTGTGCTTGACAGACTTCCACCGGGTCAAATTTAGACCTTTCCTTCTCTGTACCATGAATAAAGGATGTGTTTGCCAAACTGCAGTCTGTCTCTCCACAAGCCCTCCCCTACCACTACACAGAAGTGGATCCTTTATATTTCGGCTTCTAAGTTAAGCTCTCCCGAGGTGGGTTAGCTCTTGGGCTGGTGTGCTTGGGATCAGTACATAAAAGCATCAGCTGAAAGATGATGCCAGAGTCATGACTCTGGGGGCCTTGATAAGCTTCCTCCTTACGAAGGTAGCCAAATGAGAGAGAAAACGTGTTTTCCAAATCACTAGTGCATCTAAAAACAAAACAAAACTTCAAGAGTCTTCTTTATAAAAGAGGCAGAGCCCTCTTTGAGGACTCACAGCCAGTCTGGAACTACAGCCCTGGTCAGCATAAATACGTTCCTTAGACATCAACGCCCAGAACTGAACTGTCAGAGGTGGCCTCTGCTCACCTTCCCAGCTTTCTCGTCCATGTCCTTGTTGTTCTTTTTTTTTTTTTTTTTTTTTTTTGAGAAAAGGAATTCAGGAAAGCTTCCCCTTTCCTTTCCAGTTAGTATCTTGGCTTACAAGCAATGTCTTTTCTAAGAAGAAGCTTACACTCTTGCCCCTGGTCCGCCTATCACATGCTCAACCCAGGAAGAATACAGCCCCTTCTGAATACACAGCACTGCTAAGCCAATGAAACTCATGGGCTCCAGGGCTTTCTCATGGTATTGAGAAGGAAAGGTCTAAAGTTGACCCTGTGGAAGTCTGTCCAGCACAAAAGAGATAGTAGGGGTTTCTCAGTGCCTCTGATCCCAACCTGTGTCAGAATGGGCCAAGCATCCCCCACACCCCTGGTCCTGGTACCCCAGGACTGACCTATGTCTCAACTCTAGGAAGCCAACCCCAGCTCCACCCTCCCATCCTGGGCTTAACTCACCTCCCGGGTTTTCTGCAGGATCTGCTCCAGGAGGATGAGGAAATGGCCCGGGTCCCTGCTTACGAGCTCCTGTAGGCTCCAGCAGTTCAGACACAGCCCGGCTGGAAAGGGAGGGAAAGAGGCAAAGTAGTCAGTATAGGTCTCAGCCAGCTGCCTCTGGGCAGAAGGTGCACAGAAGGGGGAACCTGTGCTGGAACATACCTCAGTGCACACCAGACTGCACTGGGACATTGCTTTCTAAAGTAAGAGAGGCTTGTTCCCCATCTGGGTATCTTCTCAGAAGAATTAAAAACATCATGCCACAGTGATCTATGTGTACCCATGTTTATGACAGCACAATTTGTAATAGCTAAATCTTGGGAACTCGAATGCCTATCAACTGGGGAATGGATAAAAAAGATGTGGCTTTTTAAAATAAATATAATGGAGTACTACTCAGTCATAAAGAAGGATAAACTCAAGACTTATAGGTAAATGGATGCAACTTGAGGCCACACTCATAAGTGAGATAAACCAAACCCACATATGTAAACATTGTATTGTCTAATATGAGAAGCTAAATGAGAAAATAAGATCCAAAATGTACAATAGATATGAAATGGGAAGACACTGTCCAAAAGAAAAGAGAAATTGATGGGGGAAAGGAAGGAAAAAATGAAGAGAGAAAAAATATGTATGTACAAGATAGTTAAGATAGTTACACAGCTAGTCTCTTAGTTCACTGAAAAGAAAAGATTGTGCTAATACTATTTGGATAAT